CCCTACCTGAGTTATGGCTCTGCTTAGCTTGGCTGGTTCTTGGGCAACAAGCCAAATTTGTCACTGCGCCTCTACTTAGGGCCTTTGAACCTTGGTAAGACTTGTGAAAACATAGACTCCACTGGTATAATCCTTGAGAACCCTTGATATAAACATTTTCTATTAAATCACTACTCTAATGCTTCAGCATGTAAGTGGGCCTAGAGATGGGTAATATATCTCTTATCTCTGAGCCAGCTTAGTTAAATTCAAAAGACGTCATCAAAATTTGGCATATACAAATATGTATATACATATATATACATATATATATATATATATATATCCACATCAAAATCTATATTTATGTCTCTCTCTGTATGCACACACATAAAAATGTATATATCTATACATACATACACATATATTCACACATACGTATGTGTGTAGGTATGACTGTCTCTACCTATGTGTGTACTTATAAAATATCCATGCCTTTCTGTATCTTCATATACATGTATGTATACTATATATGACATGTATGCATGTGTACATATATATACATGTATTTCATAATACATGTTCATGTATTTATGTGTGTACATATGTATAGTGTATGTGCGTGTGAATCAGAACATTTGCCATTCTTCAATGCTAAATTTATAAAAGATTGGGGAGGAAGAGAGAGAGAGAGAGAGAGAGAGAGAGAGACAGAGACAGAGAGGGAAGGAGGGAGAGATTTCGTTTTGCTAACACTGTTAGAGTTAGAATCTCAAGTCCAATATCCCAATATTGTCATTTTTGAGGTATAGCCCAGAGTAGTGTGTTCAAGGTCAAGCCATGGTAATATCAATGATGATACCTAACTCACATGACTATTGGTCAGAAATTCAATTTATTTAGTTCTGAATTATGGGATTCCAGTAACATGCAAGCTCCTTGGGAACAAGGATAGTTGTTTGCTGGGCTTTTTAAATCTCCACATGCTGTATACTTTCCTTAAACATAGTAAGAGATTAATAAATTGTTGGTTAATTGAGAATCTTTACACAATATATCAGCACTTCATAACCTAAGTAATCATGAGACCACTTTCATTCAAAGAAACTCTCAATCTCCTCTTTTGATAGAGGTTCCTATATTGTATTTCCTATAGGAATTGTAAAAGAATTTCTATTAGTGTGTAGAACTCTAGCTTTGAGCTAGATAACAATAACAAACTAGGTTTTCTTTCTTAGCATATTCCAACAATGTTGCCTTTAAAATAGTATCCCTATTCTTAGAGGAAGTCCTTGAGGAAGGCAAGAAAGCCCTTTCCAAAAGAAAGAGGAAAGAAGACAAAAGATAAAGAATCTAGGATTGGATCTCTTCCTTCCTTCAGGATATCTTGATGGCAATTCAAGCTCAAACACTAAAACTCAAACTCCTTTATCTCCTTCTCTTTGTTATGTTCCCATCCTTCTGAAGAATCACCATCTAGCTTTCCCAACCCCCAAATTTTGACACTTCAAAGACACCTCCAATTCTTCATGGCCTTTCATCCCATTGAAAACCTCTGACATTTGCCCTGTCCTCTGACCCCTGGCCTCTGTCCATTGTCCAGATCGTAGTCATTTTTTGTTTAAGCCACAACAGCATTCTCTGAGCTGGCCTTCCTGACTCCAGGCTCTTTTCCTATCTGTCACTTTATACGTATGTGGCCATATTTGTCAATTCCTTAAAGCTTTTCAACAGCTTCCTCTCAATCACCCTTGCATCAGGTTCAAATTCTTGACCATGGTTCCAGAAGACTTCTTAGTTCAACCTTATCCTAATGTACATTTTTTATCTCTCACTACCAACTAGCCTTCTAGATCAAATCAAGTCAAGCTAATTATAGCTATCATCATTTACCTTCTGTTCCCCAAGCAGGATATCCCCTGAAGTTCTGTCCTGAGATCTCCTCTCATCTGTCTCTATACTCAATCTCTTGGTGGTCTCAGCTACTCTCATGAATGCAATTATCCCTATACAGATGATTCTCAAAGCTCCAATAATATAACTTGGCAAAATTTTGTTGTTGTTGTTGTGTGTGTTTGGGGAGAGGGAGTGCAAAGGGAAAATCTGAGGACAATTTTTAAATATCATATTTATAGAGGACTTGATAGTTGTACATTTTTGCACATGTCTGATGCCAGTTGATCCTCAAAACAATACCATGAGATAGATACTAAATTTTAACTATCCTCTTTTTACAAGTAAGGAAATTGAGGACCAAAAAGATTAAATACTTGTTTAGAATGATGTAACTAATAAATAACCAAATCTGTACTCAAAACCAGGATTTTAGAATACTGCCATTCTTTCATATTTTACAATATGATGCAAGCAGTAGTTGTTTTATTTATATTATTACATTCTCAATTTCTAGTGCTATGTCTTATACTAGTGGCTAGTGCCACTACTTTAGATTATAGCTTCTCATTTGTCTAGTGTAACCGCAGCGGGACTTGTTTAAAATGTAGGAAAAAAATTGGGCCCTGTATAAAGATAGAATATATAAAACAAAGTCAGGTAAATTGGATTTGATTGGAGTCTTATAAATATGATCAAAAGGGCTTAAAATGAAAGTAAGTTGGAGGGAGAAAAAATGCCTATGCATGTCTAAAAAGCCTTATGCCTACTGTAAAGAATTTAGAAAGAAAAATGCCATTGGGGATATCCCAAAATTAGTGAGATGAAATCCAGGAAAAGATTCAGCAATCAAACTTATGGCATCAGAAGCATGTATACAAATCCATGAAGCATGAGTAACAAGGAAAACAATGCTAGTGTAAGAAGACAAATATGACCTTGTAGTTATCATTGAGATTTGGTAATGTGAAATCCTGTGAGAAGATTATGGTTCTGAAATTGTAATTGTTTATCAAAGAAGCAAGATAGGTGAAAGAATGGAGCAGAGTAGTACTATATATATTGAAGAGATACATTCATGTTAAGAAATCTGGGGTGGCTGCTTGCTTGTTGGCCTTCATACTCAAAGAGGACCAAAATGACATCATTATGTAGAAGGTACAATATGTCTGACTGGGGCTGATCAGACCAATACGAGTTCAGAAGGCTCTACCACAGGTCAGTCACAAATAGTCCATATGAACATTTGGAGTGGAGATGCCTCTAAATTTGTGAATCTCACATGTCTTTTGAGATCCTGCAATTCTGCTTTGCTCACGTAGCACAGGGCCTTCATCGATGCATGCATACCATGCTGGGCAGTCTTGTGCCAGTGTCTCCTGTGTCTGACAATTGATTCCAAAGTTCTTCAGAGATCTTGAGATTGTCTTTCTATTGCTGCTTCTGACCTCCATATGAGCTGTAACCTTGTGTGACACAGGGAATAGAAGCCAGCATGTGGGGGAAGATCAGTGGAGGCAAAAACAAGTGAATTTGTCATCAGGATATACTACAGAGCAACAAGATTACAAGCCTGGCATGGATATACAGAGATGAGGAATTTTAATTATCCAGATATCTAATGTTCTTTTTCTTTACTCAAATCAGAGCAGTTAATAACTTTTTTTTTTTGCTTTTTGGTTAGGCAATGGGGTTAAGTGACTTGCCCAAGGTCACACAGTTAGTAAATGTTAAGTGTCTGAGGCTGGATTTGAACTCAGGTCCTTCTGACTCCAGGGCCAGAGCTCTATTCACTGTGCCACCTAGCTGCCCCAATAACTTTTTCAGATACCTTAATACTTTACGATATAATGCAAGCAGGGATTGTTTTATTTATATCACTATATTCCCAATATCTATTGCTATCTTTCACTAGTACTTGCTTAATATATTTGTTGAATTTAATTAAATTAATAATACCATTATTTTCATGTTAGAAGAACCATTGAGGAGAGCAGCTACTCTGGTTTGCATTCTTTCCAATAATGAGCAATTTAAAAGAAAATGATCATTCTGTTAGAACTTGTGATAGAAGAACAAAGGAAAGCTAAATACAGAGTAATCTGTTAAAGCATCCTAGATTTTGGAAGAGCAGGTTTCAAAGTATTCAGAAAAACAGTAATGTCATATGGACTAAAAGTGTATAGAGGAAGCCATTCTAAGAGCAGTGGTAAGCTTTCAAGAATGAAATTATGAATACACACACACACACAGACTAAGAGGAGTAATAGGAGCAATTCTCTAAAGGGGCAGATGCAGTGAATAGGGAACTCATCAACCAGCTTGATCAAAATGAAAAAAAGTACAGAATACCGAAGCAGACAGGTAATGGCGGACTTAATATAGAATTGTGGCCTGGTCCTATGAGTGTCAGGAGTATTAAAACTCAGAACAAACTGAAGCAGGTAAACAAAGGAAAGGACAACAAAACACGTGTATGTGTGTGGTGTGTGTGTGTGTGTGTGTGTGTGTGTGTGTGTGCAAGCACATACATGGTATGTTAGAGAAAAGAAAAGAATCTAAAAAGGAAATGGACCACTGCTTGAAATGGAGATGACATTATGATAGCAGACACTATAAAGAAGGAAGAGGTACTTGATTTTAATTTGTCATGTGATTTTGCTTTTGTTTTTTTCTGCCATGGAGGATAGTCTTTGGACTGGAAAGGATAGAGAAGAAATAGCGAAAGAAGAGATGACACTCAACATAAATAAAGAGGATCCTTAGTTGATGTTAATGAATTCAAGCCACCAGGCCTAGATAAAGTACTGAAAGGCATGGATGGTGTGATTGCTAAGTTGCTGTTATTGATCTCAGAAAAAATCATAGAGAGTTCTATAGGATAGGGTTGGAGAAGGGAAACATGGTTTTGTTTAAGACAAAATTAAAGAAGGAGAAGGAAAACATAGTTTAACACCTGTGGGCCAGGGGACATGATCTTAATTCCCATAAAAGTTACAGCATGTATTAACAGGGATCAAGTCTAGAATTTATTACATGCAACTATGATGCGTATGCTCATTCAATGTGTTTTCTACAAATATACCAAGGAGGAACCATAAAAAAAATCAAACATTTATTTTTTTTTAAATAAGAAGGTAAATAACAGAGAAAATCAAGCAATAGATTCAGTCTCAAAATATCCTCACCACATAAAGGTATGCATTTTCCTACAAAGTGACAAGCTAATGGGGGAAAGGTTGTGCTTCAGTTCAAACACTGACAACTTACACTCCCCTGTGGTTTCTTAGCTCTGACCTTCATAGATCTTTGGTGTAGTTCTGGAACTCCCCCTGGCACTACTACAGTAGTGTAACTGATGCAATTATTACCTCCATTTCTGTCAAGTAGCATTACCTTAGGTCTGCTATTTGTCACTTTTCAGAGGAGCAGAAGTTATAGTCTCATTCTCTTGTTTCTACTTTCTTCTAAAGCTCTTCTCTGCTGCTGTAGTGGTTTTGTTCTTCCTCCAAGGATTGTGTCATTCTTTTGTGAAACTACTCCAGGACAACATGCTTCAGGACTCATCAACACATTTTCAACTTTTTTTCTTTCTTTTTTTTTTTAGTGATTCCTATACCACATCAGGCTGATGTTCCAAAAGAGTCCCTCAGGTCTCCACCAAGAATGTGCTTACACTTTTTCAAAGTTGAGATTTTTTTAATCATGTACACATTCACTCTAGGCAAAGGAGGCAGGCGCTGCTATACTATCCTGAATTTTTAACCTAGAATCTAGTATTTTCTAACCCAAAAAGTGGGGTTGGGGTGACAAATCTTCAGGGTATTAGTGTAAATTGCTAAATCATTTTGAAGATCTCACAGTTATTTGTACAAAAATTTTGTTGTCTTATTGTATTAGAACAACAAAAGTTGCTATGTGCTGGGGAAGGGAGAGTACAACCTTGATACTAACTGCTCTCAAAGGATAAAAGATACCGGTCATCCTTCTTACCTGGGTCGAAACAAGTAAATTTCTTTCTTGCTCACCCAAGAGTATAGACTGTGGCTATTCCTTCTATATAATCCAATATACATGGCCCAATCCTTTTTACAAACTACACAATAATGAATCTTTTTTGAGACTGAGGATAAGCATAAACACTGCTTTGCATTTACTATCATCCCCCAAACACCTATCATAAGCGCTATGCAAGTTTTTTGAAACTCTCACAAACCTCAAGATATGAGAATTTTAGTGGATTGTAAGCTGAATGAGTCAACATTTTGATTTTGCAGCCAGAGAAGCTAATGCAAAGTCAGTCTGTATTAATAAAGTCATCATTGTTCAGGACTAAGGAGGTTATAATCCCAATATACTTTTCTATGGTTACACTATGGTGTATCAGATTCACTTCTAGGTACCACATTTTAAGTATACTCTGCTAAACTAAAGGCTGTCCAAAAGATGGTAAGAAGGAGCGTGAGGGATCTTCTTTGACATGATACCTTAAGAGACTTGAGAGAAGAGACTGATGTTTAGCCTGGAGAAAAGAAGACTCAGGTGTGATTGTGGCCAGGGAGGGGGTGGTGATGTTGATGGTGGTACATGCCTTCTAATAATAAATATGATGTGACATAGAAGAGGAATTAAACTGGTTCTGCTTTACCCCTAGAGAGCAGAAAAAAGGGACAATGAACAGAATTTGTAAATCTCTATCTTTCTGTTCCTATGCATGTATGTATCATTTTTTTCTATCTGTTATCTATTTATCAGTAGGTAGATTTGATGTAGAAAATACTTTCTTAAAATTATACCTATGCTAAAATGAAATAATCTGCCTGGGCAGGTAATACGCTCTAATCAAAGGGCTTCAAATGAAAGTTAGATGACCACTTCCCAAGTATGTGATAGAGAATAATTCCTGTTTGGATATGAGTTGGCCTCAGATGTCTCTTACAACCTGGAGATTCTGAGATGCATACTGGAAGAAACTTAAGACTTCAACATATATAATTACCATATACCATTTCCAAAGAATGTCCAGTTTCCAAAGAACACCGTAATTATAGAGAACTCACTACCTCAAGATGGGGTCCATAATATGTTTAAATAGCTTTCAATATTTGGAAGCACTTCCTCATCGTGAGCCAAAATTTGTTTCCCTGATATTTTTCAGACTCGACGCTAGTTCTCTCTGGCACAAAATCAACCTCCTAGAAGATAGGCCCTTAAGCTCAACAGTCGGAGAGGAACTAAGGTTCACCTGGTCTAACTATCTCAGTTTTCTAGATAAAGGAACTCTAGCCAAGAGAGTATAAGTAACTTACCCAGGGTCTCATGGATTGTCAGTATCAGATATGGCTTTTCAATATAGGTTTGTGGATGCCAAATCCACATCTTTTCCCACTATCCTCTTCTTCTTTTCCTCAAATACTGGAAGACAGTCAGCATGGAACCACTCCAGAGGTAAACTCCATTGGATAAAACCATTCTCCAAGCCTAGGAAAGGATCGATTAGTTTTCTGAAAACAGCAGATAAACAATGATAGGAGCTTTTAAATCCCTCAATCTAGAAATCAAATATAAATACCTCTTTATTTTCTCAGGTGAGATTAGTGGACTGCTCTTCCTTTGTATTAGGTTGGAACTTTGTATCAGGTCAAAGGACCTGGCTTCAAGTCCCTCTTTTGATGCTCACTAGCTGTATGTCCCAGAGCAAGTCACTTAACCTCATTATGCCTCAATTTCTTTATCTGAAAAAGCAGAACTGTTAGATCATATACATAGCATCTGACATCCCTTCTAATTCTAGATTTATTATCCTATAATCTAGTGAACTGACGTGATAGAGGAGACTGAGTTTGGTCCTTCCATATAGTCTTGGTTTTCTAAATGATCTTGGGTAAATCAAATTTCCCATTGCACAATTTCAGCTGCTCCACCTGGGTTATAGATACCATTACTTTACAGAAATATCATTCTTAACCTAGCTGATAATGACTCAATTTATTTCAATTCAATAAATGTTGATTAAATGCTTACCATATGCAAGACATCACATTAGGTATTGTAGAATCCAAAAAACAAATCAATACTCCTAGTTTCAAGAACATTTCATTCTCCTAGGGAAAGTGGAAGGGGCTAGTATTAAACATGTACAGGAATATTATAAAGATGCACTGGCTTGGCTAGAGATCATTTCATGGGGTAGGGAGATGGGATAGGAATAAGCATTTATTAAATGCCTAGTATATGAAAGGCACTATGGTAAGTGTTTTATAAATATTATCTCATTTTTTATCTCCTGGGTTGAGGGGGGAGAATAAATAATTATACGCTATATTATATAAAGGGAAAGATTTCTCATTTCACATATTATATCCATATAGGAATTAGTAAAAATATTCCAGAAGTCAGAACAAAGAATCTTAGGTGGTCCTGTGAAGCCCCATACACCTTCATCTGCTCTAAAAGATCAGGTTTTCATCCCTTGTGCATAAAATAAAATACACTTCTCAGTCTTCATTTATGACATCTTTCCTTCTCTTTTTCTGTTTTTTTTTTTTTCTGGCTGACGCACTAGCCTTTGATGTCCTTGCCTGTGAAGGTGTAAAAAGACCAGAGGAGGGCAGGCAGGGTCTGATTTACAAAATCAGAGACAAGAGAGTCACCCTGGAAATGTGTCACTGAAATCAGAAAGCCAGAGGATAAGAAAAACGGGAAGCCATTTTCGGTGCATCATTGATTCCATCCCTACCGTCTGCCCTCTGAGGACTTACTGAGAAGGCTCTCCTTTTGTCATGGTGCATAAGAGAACTTGCCTTAAAAACAAAAGTGGAAATAGTTACCCAATCATCAGCCACTGAGGTTAACTGCAAATTAGCCATGGATTTTGTCCTGTTGCTTTCCTGGCTATGCAAGAATCATATTTTCCCCTGGCACAACCCAAGAAGAAAGCAAGTTTAACAGAATGCTAGCTAGAAAGCCAGATGACCTACCTGGGAATCCCTGAGGGAAGGACTAGCTTTTTGTGTCTTGAGTTGGGGTTTTTTAATTTTTGTTTTTCTGTCGGTAAAAACAACAACAAACAACTGTTATCTGCCTCACCGGGGTGTGGAAGGACAGTGTTCTAGAAATGTGAAGCATTTCTATTTTAAGCTCTACTGTCACCACTGGAGAAAATGGTGGGTGAAAAAAACAGAGTGTAGGTTTGCAGATTCAACACCAGGCTTTTTGCCAGAGTACTCCCTTGCGCTTCCCAAGTCAAAGATATTGAAATTGCAGTCAACTCTCAGTTATCTGCACCCAGGCATGAGGTGATTGCCTCTGGCTGAAATTTAATATGGAAAAATATAAGTCCTACAGTTAATTCTAAGAAATTGATTTCACACATACAAGATGGAGGGAAACATGGATAGACGATTCTGAGAACGCACTAGGGAGTTTAGCAGACCGCAAGCTTATGAAGCAATATTGTTCTATGGTAGGCTAGCAATTGAGTGCATTCTAGAACAATATGAAATGAGACATAACTTTCAGGAATAATAAAGGGTTGGTTTCATTGGAGTTTGTACTGGTCAACCTATACAGAAAGGAAGTGATCAATTTGGAACACCAGGCTTTAGGAAGGCCATTGATAATACAGAGAGAATTCGTAAGAGGATAATTGAAGCTGAAGAAGGGTCACTAATCTATGCTTTATTAGCATCATTTGAAGGAACTGGGGAAGTTTAGTTTGATGAGGAAAAACTGAGGGGCCACAACAGATGTGTTCAAAGCACTAGATGAGGCATTTTATTTTGCCTCACACAACAGAACCAGGATTAATGTGCAGAAGCTGCAAAGAGGTCGGGACAAATCTTCCTAACAATTTTTGTATAATTTTATATAATGATGTACGTAACACACAATGCATAATTATATATTACACAATATAAATAATAATTGAGCTAGCTCAAAGTAGAATAGGCTACTCTGTGAGGTAATGAGTTCCTGCCCACTGAAAGTGTTAAAGCAAAGACTGTATGACCACCTATTGTGTGGGTTATTGAGGGGATACTTTGGAGGAGAGGAGATCTGGGTTGGTCTAGATGGCAGATAAAGTCCTTTCAGATTCTGAAATTCTATAATCCTGTGATTTTATTATTCTAATGTGACTGGAATGATAGCACATGGTTCTTCCCTCTGATCTCTAAATAGCGCTTTGTTTTGTACCTTACCTAGTCACTTTTTGTTGTCATTCAATCGTTTAGTCATGTCCTACTCCTTGTGATCCTGTATGAAGTTTTCATGGCAAAGGTACTGAAGTGGTTTGCCATTTCCTTCTCCAGTTCATTTTTGCAAATGAGGAAACTGAGGTAAAAAGGGTTAAGTGACTTGCCCAAAGTCACATAGCTAGTGAATGTCTGAAGCCAGATTTACAATTAGATCTTCCTGACTCCAGGCCCAGGTCTCTATCCACTGAGCCACTTATAAAATTGGTTATTTGACAATGTATACTGTTCTCCTGTCATAAGCTGAAGCATATAAGAAACAATGGACATTTTTTGCAAAAAGCACCATAAGAGATATTTTTGAAGAGATATATGATCTGAAAAGATGTGGGCCAATTGTATAGTGGGAGTAAGGCATAACAGATGGATTGTCCGTGTGTTTGTTTGGTACTCGTGCACAGTCAACATTTTTCTTTATGGAACTTAGGCTCTTATTACTTCCTAAGTTCCTTAAGGTAAGGAGTATTGTCTCATTTGCCTTTGTCCACAATACCTAGAACAAGGTATAGTAGCTTCTCACACATTGATAGCATAGAGAAAAAAAAAAGAGGGCCTGGACCAGACGATCTCTTAGCTCTCTTCCAGCTCAAGTGTTTAAAATTAGGGTTATAATGGCAAAGATGATTAACCCTAAAGGTTAGCCACAGGCAGAGGCATGCTGAAATTATAATGCATTTCTATTGTGCTCATGGTGATAACTCCAGTAATAAATTCTCTATTCACTTGTCTTTATTATATCACAAGAACGCCATCAACATGTGCCTCTGATTCACCATTGATTAAAAAAAAGGGGAATAATATTTCCCTTCCTGGTCTTTATAAACATTAACTCATTACCCCCTCAAATGTCCTCTCTGAACCAGGTGGCAAATGCTGTTATCCACATGCTACTGATGGAAAATGTGACACGTCAAGGAGAACTGGTGAGTCACCCATCCATCAGATAACAAGTCTGTGGCAGAGCAGGGAATTTAAATGAGTTTTCAAATAAGGTTGTCTAACAAATGAATAGATGTCTGGGCCTTTTCTGAGAAAATCAAAGAGCATCTACTTCCACAGATGCAATCTTCATCAAGGAAGGATCATGCTTTACCCCTTGCTTTGAATTCCTTTGGGACTTGATATTCCAGAAGTGTTTATAAAGTCATGGGATTGTTTGTTTGTTTTTAATAAAATGAGATAACATACATAAAATGCTTAATGAAATTTAAAATATTATATGAGTGATTTTTAGCAACAGATACATCACAAGTATAACTCAAGGCCAGCTTGGGATCATAGGGATCTTATGATAAAATGAGAACACTTAGATTTGGGAAGAAAGACTTACAGAGGAAATGATAATCATCTTCAAGTATGTGAAGGGGCGTCATGTGGAAGAGGGATGGACTTGTCCTATTTGTTCCAAGAAAGCAGACCTAGGAATAACAAATAGAAGAGGCAAACAGGTTTTATATTTCCAAAACATAGAGCTGTCCACAATCAATCAATCAACCAATAAGCATTTGTTAAGCACGTACTATGTACCAGACAATAGGCTAAATGTTGGAGATACAAAGACAGAAATAAAGCAGTCCCCATACTCAAGGCTCTAACATTCTAGCTAGGGAGACAGCGATGTATATGTAACTACATAGAGGTAGAGGCAGATAGGTGATGCTGTAGATAAAGCACTGGGCTTAGAGTCAGGTTAATCTGAGTTCAAATCCAGCCTCAAAGCACTTATGATCTCTGTGACCCTGGGCAAGTCACTTAACCTCTGCCTCCATTTCCTAAACTGCAAAATGAGGATGGGACAGCTAGGTGGCACAGTGGATAAAGTCAGGAAGACTCATCTTCATGAGTTCAAATCTGGCCTCAGATACTTACTAGATGTGTGACCCTGGGCAAGTCACTTCACCCTGTTTGCCCCAGTTTCTCATATGTAAAATGAGTTGGAGAAGGAACTGGAAAACCGTGCTGCTATCTTTGCCAAGAAAACCCCAAATGGGATCACAAAGAGTCAGATACAACTGAAAAATGACTAACAACAATAATATCTAGCAGGGTTGTTGTGAGGATGAAATGAGATAACATCTGTAAAGTGCTTAAGACAGCATCTGCCACATATTAAGTACCATATCAATGCTTATTCCCTCCCCAACCAGATAGGAGACAGGGATAAGACTTGTGAAGTCATTGGCATAGGGAGTTCTCAATGAGGAAATGTCCTACATCACTGCAGATCAGTACCTTTCCTGTAACAGATTCCTAGAGTTATCTGGATCCTTGAGAGCTCAGGAAGCTTGTCCAGGATCACACAGTCAGTGCTAAAGGAGGGGATCGAACTCTAGTATTCCTGCAACTGAGGCTGTCTCCATCCACCATGCAATGTTTCCTTTCCTATAAATGTAAAATAAAAAAAAAAATACAAGGATGTCTTTATTTGATTTTTGCTAGGGAGGTACTTGATCATCTAGAGCAATCAGGAAAAGCTTCCTGTATAATGTGGTGACTGAGTTCTAAAGGGAAGAATGAATTCCAAGAGGCAGAGGTGAGGAGGGAATGCATTCTAGGTGTGGGGAGAGGGGGGAAGAGCAGGGCAGTAGAACAGAGATATAAAAATGTAGGAGGAACAGCAAGTAGACCAATAGAATAACCAATCTAGGGAGGTAGTAGTTTGCCCTTTATTGGAGGTCTTCAAGCAGTGGCTAAATGATAATATGTTGAGTTATAGAGAAGTCTCTTCAGAGGCCCACACATGTCTAATGATTATACTATTACTTAAAACATCTTAGAACTTGAGCTTTGGGAATTTTAACATATTCCTGTGCATACCTTAAAAGGCAGCAAATATTCACTCTCTGAAAAGTAGATTCAGTCTTGGGAAACGAGACAAAATCATTGAGTCATCTAGTTAAGAATGTGGGTAGGTGACTGCTACCATTTTCCATCAAAACAAAGGTTGGGGAGAGAAGCTAAACTATGAGAAAATTGATTCTCCCTCATTGCTGTTAATCTAATTCTGGAGATGATTTCCAAAGAGGATCACCAGAGATATTTTGAGCAACGTTAATACAATTGGAGTAAATGAATGACCCTAGTCATTGATGGCTTCAAAGGAAACAACTCTTATTTGGATAAATGTGTTTTAATTGGTTTTTATATTTCATTATTTTATAGTCATACTCGTATTTAAATTCAAATACATTTATTAAATATCTACTATGAATGCAATCCTCCACTTGGTCTCATTGAAGGTATAAAAATGATTGACAGCTTCTGTCCTCAAGGAACTTGCCATGTACTGGCAAAGATAAAATATTTGTGTATCTTTAATCAAAATAAGGCAAGATAAGTTAATATGTAAGTGAAGAGTCATCAAAATGCTACGTGAAATAAGAGGATAGAATGGTAGTTATTAGGAAAGGGAATCAGAGAAGGCTTCATTGTTGAGGTGGCAATTGAGCTAGGCCTTGAATGATGGGTAGGATTTAACAGGCCAGTATGTAAGGGAAGTCCATTTTAGGCATTTAGAATGGTATAACATGAATAATGATGCAGTTTGGGACATGCAAGGCCATGCTCAAGGAATGGCAAGCAGACAGGTTTAGTTGGAGTATAGGTGGGTAAAAAGCAGTGAGGTAGTTGAAGTATGGGGTAAGACAGGGAAGCTGATCCTCTTTCTCTTGGAAATGAACTTTTGTCTAGATATAACAGAGCTATGACCTGAATCCTAATTCCTAGTCCAGTGAGCCTTCCAGCCCATTACTAATTCATCAAGTACAGTACTATTTATGAAGAAGACAAGAGAACAACCCCATATTACTATTCCTTTAGACTATTTTCCAGG